CGGTGCTGCGATGCTTCTGGATCTGGCTCCAGAGGATTTCCCTTTCAAGACGGCTGGTGCACATCAACATCGTTTTTTCTGGTTCTTTTTGTACATCCATTGGACATTGAGTTGGACGATTTTTTCTGATCATCATTTTTGGGACAGGGCTCACTTCGACAACAATATTTTTACTTGGAGCGACTCTCAACACCTGCACAATTCAGCTTTTGAGACAATTCAATTTCATTTTGCAGACCGACGTGAGACTGTGCGTCCCAACTGCGGAGTGGGCTCCCGCTTTCAAATCCTTCCTGGCCTGGACGTACAGTGGGAAGCTACAAATCAACAATTTTTCATTTTGCAGGTTGAAAATTGCCACCAAGACTCATACAGGCAACAATATCCTGAATATTCCACTGTTTGGACAACGACGCAGTACATTGCAGATCAGCAGACTGAATCACTGCACAAGCACTGCAATTTTTTTACGCAGACTACTGAATCAGTCGCCCACTTCTTGAACAAGACCCTGCTCCGCTGCGACACGTGTGCACCTGCACAAGTGGATTCGTCCACCAGCGTTGACCTGCCATCGAGCCTAGCCAGCGACCACTGCCCTTGCTGGCCTCCCATCTCACCCCTTAGTCCATTCAGGTCCCGGAATACTAAGACCAATATTAATCTGTTGAATCCTGCCTGGCCACTCCAGCAGCCACCTGACCCTATACCCATAGTCTTAACCATAATCCTGACCCTACTAGGCCTGTTGCACAGACATACCCATTTGGGTAACAGCCGCAAACCCGGTCCCAAGTCCGGGCATCCCGGTATCAGAACTAAGCCCAGTAAATCAAAGAATTTCCACCTGACCATTTTCTGGGCTTTAACTATGACCATATCACACTACTGGGATGGGGGTGAGGGTTGTTCCAAACAGCCATGGTTTGGAACGGAAGCCGCCTTTGATGCCCTTGCTCTAACTGAACTGATGCAGGCAAAACCTCATGGCAAAGCACTGCAGCAGGGCTCCGGCCCATGGGATGTCAACCGACATATCAGTGAGATCACACCTGTACAGAAGAGAAGCCTGAAACGTGCCTATCGAAGATCCATCAACAGTGGATGTGCTTGGTATCGAGGCAGATGCCTCTTGCCTGATCAATTTCCAATTGAGTTGCGTAAACCAATTGTTTCAAGCACCAAGCCTCACATCAAACATCCAACTGCCAAACGCACCTTTGCCCCAAAATATCGTGCACAAATTGGTCATGTGAACGTTGGCGGAATCGCCACAGCGAGATTACAAGAGGTCAAAACATGGGCGTTGGAAGCAGAAATTGATGTGCTCATACTCTTGAAACGCGCTGGAGTTTTTCTGCTGAGTGGTCTGACAACATGTGGCATCACGTGCATACGGGATCCAACCAGGATCGCTCTGACGGCATACTTTTTTTAATCAGACGCTCTTGGTGCAGCCCTGATCAAATAGGTTTTGCTGAAGTTCTTGCTGGACGCATTGGACACTTGCGCATCCATTTTAGACAGCGATCCCTGGACATCCTTGGATGTTACCAATATGCAGATGACCACACATCTCAGAGACAAGACAAGCGCCATGAATTTTGAAAGTGCCTTGACCGACAAATTGCAGTTCTCCCCAATAGGAACTCTGTTCTCATTGCAGGAGATTTTAACTGTAGTCTACCCAGTTGCAGTCCACACGTGGGCACTTCCTTCTATCTTGCAACGATTTCAGCTGACTGCCCTCAACAGCTGGAACGCGCAGTTTCCCCCAACATTTATAAATGAGCCCCACACCTCAAGAATTGACCATATGTTTATGCGCATTGCTGACACTGACTCTCTATCTAAAGATGTCAAGTTGTTTCCTCATGCTGCTTTTCTACCCATCAATGGTGCTAGACATATACCTATGGTCTGTTCTATCCGAAAAATCCCCTATGCCTACACTAAAAGCCATCGATCAGCTGGATGTTCCTACCGGCAACGCCTCCAATGCCGACAAGACTGGATCGACGATACACCACATTGGGATCAGTTTCACCGAGCTTTCACTTCTTGTTTCACAGAATTCACACACCTTGACCACAGTGACAGTACAGTAATTGACGATTTGCACACATTTCTGATGCCAACCTTCCAATCATTTTATCCTTCCAACCGACAGCATGGGCAGTCCCATTCAGATGACAGTGAAACCCAACAGCTCATCCAAACCAAGTGGAAACATCGTGAATTATTTTTGTCTTGCAGACGCACCACGCTCCATGACCTTTTTCATGCATGGTTTCACATTGGACGTTTTCAGGTCCTTAAAAGGAATCATCAGCGCCACTGTCGACGCTTGAAAACCCAAAAATTCCATGACCTTTTGCATGAAGTGAATAGAGCCTCCTGCAGACATGATAGTTTCACAGTCTATCAAGCCGTTCAGAAATACACCCCAAAGCAGCCCAAGAAACGCATCCGACTTCGGAATCCAGATGGAACTCCTGCAATGCCTGACGAGGTGATGGAGCTGACGAGACAATACATTCACGACATTTGGCTGCCAGCCAATACCGTGATGCTCAACACTGATGCTGTTCCAGGGGTCCCTTTCACACGTGATGAACTAATCCAAGAACTGTGCAGAATTCCAGTCACAAAATCCGTAGCAAAACATTGCTTGCCTGGCATTTGTTGGAAGACCCATGCTACTGCAGTGACTGATTTCATTTTTCCCAAACTTGAACGCTGGTGGAATTCTTCACCTCCCTTCATACCAGATCAATGGAAAGCTGCACACCTTACGTTCATCCACAAACCAGGCAAGACACCCGACAACTTGCTGAATTTGAGACCCTTAGCCCTGCTTGAGCCGGTCGGCAAGAGCATACTGGGACTGCTGACGTCCAAATTTGCCCTGGAAGTGCGTCCTTTGATCACTGACTGGCCCCAATTTGCATTCATGCCAAACAGATCATCACTGGATGCCATCCGAAGAGTTGTACAGCATTGCTTGCGTATCAGACACCTCCATCAGAACCAACGACGTAGTGTTCACCAGCGGGCAGCTGCAGTGAAAAGCACCCCCATCTGTGGAGGGATACAAGTCCTGTTGGACGCGACCCGAGCCTTCGACAGAGTACCGAGGCAACCACTTTTTGACTTCATCCACACTCTGCCAGTGGATCAGCGACTTGTAGTGCTCCTCACCGCTTGGCACTCCCATACTGCATACGTGATTGAACACGATGGACAAGCAGCAACAGTTGGCACAGGCCGCGGCGTCAGACAAGGATGCCGCGCGGCCCCAATTTTGTGGGCATGTCATACGTTGGAACTATGCCACCGCCTGTCCAATCGCATCAGTGCAGAGTGGGTTAAGATGTGCCTTACAATTTTCGCGGACGACATTCATTGTTGTGAGGAGTTTGCAAGCATTCCCCAACTTGAAAGAGCACTTGCCAGAATTGGAATCCTCCTTGACATGCTCGAAACAATGGGAGTACAGCTTTCTTTTGCCAAGTCCCATGTTTTATTTCATGTTTGCGGCACCAACAGCAGAGATGTTTACAGACGGTTTATACATGTTGGAGCTGAGGGCCCCTATCTTAATATACCAAGGGCTGACGGAACCTACTCACAACTCCCCATCAAAACCACTGCTAAATACCTGGGAATCATTGTCAGTTATCGTATGTTTGAGACCCACACAGTTGCTGCACGCCTGACAGCTGCATGGACTACATTCACTAGGCTCAGACGCTGGCTATGCGCACGTCAAATCCCGCTCAGAGCACGAATGCAAATGTGGCAGTCTTGTGTCCTATCCACACTTGTATATGGAATCTACACGGTAGGGTTCACCTTGACCGACATTGGTGCCATACAGAAAAGTATTTTCCATATGTACAGAAGGATGACTGGTGATCACTGTTTCCTTACGGGCAACACCCATCTCCAAATGCTGACAAAATTTTCATTACCACATCCACTGGACTTGATTTTTCATGCCGGGACCCAACTCCGGAACACGCTGAGCCAACGCCTCAGCAATATGTCTGCTTCAGACATCACCTGGACCACAGACTGGACTCATGTGCCGCACTTGCAGCAATTAGTGCACGCTGCTCGTCATGAACAGTTGCAGGTTTCCCTGGCGACACCTGCGCACGAGGCGCCCCAACAGATGTTTCAATGCCCATGTTGTGATCTACAATGTAATTCCCTTGCTAACCTGAGGCGCCACCAGACCCAGGTTCATGGCAGGCTACAGTTTAGAACCAACATGGCTAAAGTTGCTTCCTTTTCAGTACGTGGTCTCCCACAATGTGCACACTGCATGGAATCATTCACCAGCTGGAGAAACTTTCAAATTCACCTGGAGCGCAATTGTTGCCAGGCGCTGACCGTGCAGAGACCGACGGCCTTGAACCCAGGGGCCATGTCGACAATGCAGGACAAGCCCACATATCCGTTGCTGACAGACTCCAACCTGTCCCTGCTTTTATCCAAACCATATGGATTACCCATTTTGGAATGCATCAAAGCCAGACGATGGGGCACGTTGCTGCAATATCCTGATGCTGTCCAAGACCTGACCAGCTATTGCGTCATTTGCGGAGTGTTCAGCAACAGACCGCAGGAACTGAACCAGCATCTGCGCACCCAGCATCATCAGCTGGTGCCCCACGTGATGACCAAGGCCAGTCAGTTATGCAAGTCCCTGGCATCGAACTCCCCATGCAGATTTTGCCAACGCAGTTTCAAGAGAGTACATCAATGCCCAGTGATGACCCAAGCCGCCGTGCTATTAGTCAACACTGACTGCACAGGTGACACATATGCTGCACCCGGCCAAGCAGTCCTGCACTGCGACATCTGCCACATGCAGTTCCAGGAGCTCAGACTGCTCAATGAACACTTAGATCAACTGCATCGCCTAGATCCACAAGATTGGGATCCACTGAGGGACCTCCTGGGGTCAGATCCAGTTTGCAGTCACTGTTTGGCTTGTTTTGCAGATCGCTCTGCTGTTCGGCAGCACATCACCCTGGGGCAATGTTTGAGCTTCGATCCGATGCGACCAGCGGCAGACTTACCGGTGCCACCTGATTGGCAGGAGATCATCATGCAAGGCCAGACCACTGAGCTTCGACAGGCGCCCATGAAACGCCTACAGCTGACATTGCGCTGCCAACTTTGCCAGACACAATTTCAACGCACTGGGGACTTATCCCTTCACCTGCAAACCACACATGCCAGTTTATGGGCTGAGTCACAGATGTATGTTCCACTGCTGATCGCATCATGCCTACCACAGGGTTGCTTATGCAACCCCATGACAAATGCCAGTGGCCTGCAACACGTTTGTGTACCGCTCAGGCAGCTCGGAATGATGGCAGCAAAGATGGCAATCCCACTGTACCTGCCCTGGAAGTTTGCAATGCAGGATGTCACCCAATATTTGCATGCCGTGGCTGATCAATCGTTCAAAGTTCACACCCAAACTGGTTGAAACCCTGGTCACACGCAACTTCCCTGCCCTCTGGACAGACCCATTGCTTGTGAATGCACTTTGCACCAGATGCCTGTGTTGTGGACTTGCTCTTCATCCTGCTGCGCTCCGAGACCATGTTTTGGACGTACATTCCTCAGTACATGTTGAGCTTGCCACATTGATGCCACAACTCTTGGATGCATTGAGCCGTGACACCACCAATGACTCCCAATGTGAACTCTGTGCCCAGATCTTCAACCATGCACCCGAGGGCAATGAAACTGAACAGGAGCTGAAGCACAGACGCCTCTTGGCTCAGATCCATCTCCAGCATCAGTGCCCGGCTCTACAACAGATTGCCGCTCTTCTCCTCTATGGGCATGGAGACCAATGCAGAGTACACAGCAGAGGACACAGAGATGCTGGAAACCTTCAGGCAGATGGGGCCACTTCTAGCACAAGAGCGCTATTCACGGCCAGACGCCGCCAGGGAGAACAAGAAGCACAAACCGAACGGGGCTTCACCCGCAGAACAAGGCGGCGACACGATGCAGCTGCTGAGGGCAATGGGCCAACTTCTACTACGAGTGGATGCGGAGCAACAAGCTCTCAAGCGTCAAGACTCATGGATTTGCTTCATGCAAACAGAGCCCCAAGCCCTCCTTCCATCCCTGATTCAGAAGGCGGCCGAGTGGAGACAGCAGAAGAACGTGAAGGAGGATCCAACCACGGATACTCAACCTCTGCCGCTACGATGCCACCTCACACAGCACCTGGGGGAGACTCTACTACACAGACTCCATCGCCTGGCGGACTGCAAGGAGACGGATCAGTTGAAGGTCGTGGCCATCAAGCATGGACTTCTGACCCCAGACAACACCTTTCCGTTTCAGAAATGGAGCCATCACACCCAGGGGCTGAGAACAACCTCCCAGGCACCCATCACACTTCAGAGGATGATCAAGTACGGCGAGCAACTGCAGGACATCCTGCGCGATCCCCAGGTGACGATCCGCTTCCATTCAATGAAGCCGATGGCGGAGGACAAAATCATCCCCTGGCTATGGCAAATTTCGATGCGAGCGGACGACCTACAGGTTCTGCTGACGACCCTCCAAGGATCGACGGTATGGGGACTCCTCGGCATGAGTCTGAAACCTCACAGCCTGGGGCAGAGTCGCCCAGCCCAACACCTTCAAGAACTACTGGGGAAGGGCCAGGGGAAGCACTCGAAGAAGGGCCGCTCCAAGGGCCATCACACTCAGAAGTGACAGATGACACACCAAGCCGTGAAAGCCTTCAGCAAGGATTGGCAGCACTGAGATTGGCTAACACCTCGAACGGGTGCTTTCTCAATGCATCCTTTCTGAGCACGCTGTGGGCGTACTTGAGTGTTGACCTTTTCTCACTTGAACAATGGGGACCACACTCCACCCAACTTGCCAACATCCTGCTCAAACATGAGGCTGAACCAATCGATCTTTGTTCCATTCCATGCTTTAGTTTGCTCCTTGACCAATGGCAAGATTTTGGCAGACAGGGTGACCCTGTGGAATTCTTAGCACATATGATGCGGGGCCTCCAGTTCACCGGTGTCAACTTGAGCTGGGAAAAGCGCGTGCAGGTGGGAGTTCAGACACATACAGTTGATGAAGGTGATGCATTCATGCCCATCCTTTTGCAATTTGATCCAGCCATGTTGCAAGACAACCATGTCACACTGAGACAAATGATCAGAGACTGGTCCAGCCAGGACGGAATGGTTGCTGCTTTCACCAATTCCACTGCCTTAGTATGCTGCCAGATCGACCGACATGTGCGCTCAGGCAAAGGTGCCATCACCAAGTGCGATATCCCAGTCAACTTCCACTGGGGAGTCGAGATTCCCTTCTTTGATGGAGAGGGAGTGCAAATCAACTGGCAAACCTACAAAGTGGTTGCTGCTGTTGCCCACTTAGGCACCGACAATGCAGGCCATTGCCGCACGATGCTCAAGATCCAGATGAACGCCACGGCCTCTCCACCTCACATGTTCCTACTCACTGATGATTGGGAGCGTCCTGAACCCATTTGGAAAGAGCCGAGCTGGTTCCACCGCAGCATAACTTGCTTCTGGTTGTGTGACTGCGACAGAATGGACTTGATGCACTTGCCGGAGGATTGGCCCATCACACAACCCAGGGCCACACTCACCACACCACCTGTCTCAGCGGCTGATCTACTGAAGCTGTTTGTTCCAGGCACTGAAGTTGAGGCCACTCCTGAATGACCATAGCAGCAGTACCGACACAAACTGGCCAACTCCCTTCGTGGGTCGCGCCAGAACAATGAGAGGAAGATGTACTCCCTACGCGTGTGGCATCATTGCACCGCCCATCAAGTCTTTTTTGCCGATGTTACCCTGCACAGACCAGACTCATTGCACGGTTTCCCGCTGACCCATGCCTTGCTTGGTTGTTTCACTGGCTCTAAGACCACGGCTATTTCTTTCATGCTGAATTGTTTTCCTTTCAGACATCCTTTTGCACAGCCTAGGCTGCCACTGCATCCGTTTGCACCCGACCCCCAGGTCGGCTTGTCCCCTGGCGTTGGTAACCCCAACGTAGACCCCCAGTCTGGCCCCAGAAGATGCCAAAAAAAAAAAGAGGGCGGCCACCAAAAGAAGCCAGGAGAGCCCCATCACTATTCTGTTGCTTCAAAAAAAAAGAAAAAAAAACCACGGCGCAGCCGACATTACGTTTCACAATGTAATGATGTGGCGACATGTATCCCATCGGCCTACTCCCTGCGTGGGTCGAGCCTGGGATCCTTAACAATTGCAGATGATCGGCAATTTGCATTGACCTAGAAGGTGCCACCGTGATGCTGCCATTTTGGCATTGCTGCTTTTACTTTGCGCTCTTCGGCTGACAGCCATTACAGACGCACGGCATTTTGCCCAGGCCTAGACGGCGCCATCATCCAGAGGCCATTTTGGCCATCCAGTTCAGCGGCCGTTTGACTCGGCCAAACCATGCACATCAGCGAGGACCATTTGTGACCTTCAACCCCCAATTTGCACCCGGCTCCCCAGCCGGTTTATCCCCGCCCTTTTTCTCATGCCCTCACGCCCGGTGAGTGACCCCTGTGTATTTAAAAAAAAAAGAGGGCGGCCACGAAAAGAAGCCTAAAGAGCCCCAGCACCATTCTGTTGCTAAAAAAAAAAAAATCACATATGTTTCACCATTCTTTCACCAAGCAAAGGCAGACCCCCTGTCTGCGATGCTGCAGCCATTAATTAGCCACCCAATCAAAGCTGGCTGTACCCTGGCCGACCTGACAGTCTGATTTCTGAGACTGCCGAGAGATGCCAACTGATCCAAATGGATCCAATTTTTCCACCTTTGATCTCACAGTTTTTGTGCACCAATGCATGCTGTGACATCCCATTCAAGCCCCTCCGGCAGGGCCAACTCATACAACTGAGTTGCAGTGCGCGCGAACTTTTGCACCAGAAAAGGAGCGTCGGAAAAAAAACACACACACACACACACCCACCCACCCACACACACACCCACACACACACCCACACACCACCCACACACACACACACACACACACACACACACACACACACACACACACACACACACACACACACACACACACACACACACACACACACACACACACACACACACACACACACGAGATAGATAGACAGATAGATAGATAGATAGACAGACAGACGGATAGATAGCATGACTGCATGACTTTGCTGAGATCCGTTGGTTCCCAGAATGGCAAGGCTTCGGCTACCAAATCTTGAGTCTCAAAGGGTACGTGGGCTTCAACGTCGATGCATCAAATGCATGTGACATCATGTGACACTGCATGTGTCTCGTGGCGCGCCAGATTGTGAATCTCTACGCGCGACAAGTAGACAGCACTGGGCAGACGGCCGTGGATCCGTGTCTCGGAAGCAGGAGCGGAATGTGAAGAATCCACACGGAAATTTCCAGATTCTATAGCCACTTGTACGAGTTTATCGCTTCGTATTGTTTCAATCAATAAGTTCCTATATAGTCCATAGGTTTCTCTAGTGACTTAATGGCGAGGTATCTCTTGGCGGGAGGCAACCGAACCCAGAATCATCTCATTTGCTTTGGGGAAGACTGCAGTAGTACCACGTACGCTGGGATCTATATCAAAAAAGAAATATTTGAATCAAACAGAAAAGGAGGAAGGAACAAAGGAAGGAACGAAGAACGAACGAAGGTTAGGCAGGTTTCATGAGACACAGTTCACTTGTTGAATCTGTTCGCCGGCATTCACCAGCTATACACACACAAATATATATATGTGTGTCTATTTTGTTTATGTTCTGCAACCGTTTCATGCCTGTCAGAAGTTTACTTCTGATCTTATATGCATAATTTTGGGAGAGGAATTTAAACATGTTTTTCACAAGGGTCCTGACTAGCGCTTTTTAAAGTTCTGAAAGCGGTGTTTCAGGACACTTGCTGAACTTTACTTTTCTTCCGAACTCACAAGATGCAATTTGTGCATTAAATAGACCCTGAGTACCATATTCAACCTACAGCAGTACGCGGGTGAACACGTATTGTCTCCTTTTTCCCGAGAGCGCCTGCGAAGGGTTCTTCGTAAAAAAGCAGCCGTTGTAATACATCTTCACACCCTCACATCTGCTGATCTAGATCTTCACACCTTCACATCTGCAGATCTACATCTTCACACCTTCACATCTGCTGATCTACATCTTCACACCTTCACATCTGCTGATCTACATCTTCACACCCTCACATTTGCTGATCTACATCTTCACACCCTCACGTCTGCTGATCAACATCTTCACACCCTCACATCTGCAGATCTACATCTTCAGACCCTCACATCTGCAGATCTACATCTTCACACCTTCACGCCTGCAGATCTACATCTTCACACCCTCACATCTGCAGATCTAGATCTTCACACCCTCACATCTGCTGATCTAGATCTTCACACCTTCACATCTGCAGATCTACATCTTCACACCCTCACATCTGCAGATCTACATCTTCACACCTTCACATCTGCTGATCTACATCTTCACACCTTCACACCTGCAGACCTACATCTTCACACCCTCACATCTGCAGACCTACATCTTCACACCTTCACATCTGCAGATCTCCTCTCGCTCTTCTTTCTATCTCTCTCTTAAGGTGGGGGCGGTGCCGCCGGAGCGCCACGAAACGCAACCCTTTCGCACGAAATGGACGTTGGTCAAAAACTGTGGTAAAATTGCGATTTGAGTTTGTACGTCGCAACCTTTTCGCACGAAATGGACGTTGGACGTCAAAAACTGTGGATTTGAGTTGGTACGTCGCAACCCTTTCGCACAAAATGGACGTTGGACGTCAAAAACTGTGGTAAAATTGCGATTTTGAGGTGTCACGGGCAACCCTTTCGCACGAAATGGACGTTGGACGTCAAAAACTGAGGTAAAATTGCCATTTTGAGGTGTCACGGGCAGCCATCACGCGCGAAATGGAGGTTCGACGTCAAAAACTGTGGTAATGTGGTAAAATTGCGATTTTACTTGCCCATCGCAACCCTTTCGCACGAAATGGACGTTGAACGTCAAAAACTGAAGTAAAATTGCGATTTCACAGGTCCGGTCTCTGTGTGTGAAAGTGTTTGTGTGTAAAAGCTTCTGTGTGTGAAAGTGTTTGTGTGCAAAAGTATCTGTGTGTAAAAGTCTCTGTGTGTAAAAGCTTCTGTGTGTAAAAGCTTCTGTGTGTAAAAGCGTCTGTCTGTAAAAGGGTTTGTATGTAAAAGCGTCTGTGTGTAAAAGCGTCTGTGTGTAAAGGAGTCTCCGTGTAAAAGCCTCTGTGTGTCAAAGCTTCTGTGGGTAAAAGCTTCTGTGTGTAAAAGCGTCTGTGTGTAAAAGCGTCTGTGTGTAAAAGGGTCTGTGTGTAAAAGCTTCTGTGTGTAAAAGCTTCTGTGTGTAAAAGCGTCTGTGTGTAGAAGCGTCTGTGTGTGAAGCGTCTGTGTGTAAAGGAGTCTGTGTGTAAAGGAGTCTGTGTGTAAAAGCTTCTGTGTGTAAAAGCTTCTGTGGAAAGAAAATTTCTGTGTGTAAAATGGTCTGTGTGTAAAAGCCTCTGTGTGTAAATGTTTCGGTGTGTAAAAGGGTCTGTGTGTAAAAGGGTCTGTATGTAAAAGCGTCTGTGTGTAAAAGCGTCTGTGTGTAAAGGAGTCTGCGTGTAAAAGCCTCTGGGTGTAAAAGCTTCTGTGCGTAAAAGCTTCTGTGTGTAAAAGCTTCTGTGTGTAAAAGCGTCTGTGTGTAAAAGGGTCTGTGTGTAAAAGCTTCTGTGTGTAAAAGCTTCTGTGTTTAAAAGCTTCTGTGTGTAAAAGTGTCTGTGTGTGAAATGGTCTGTGTGTAAAAGTGTCTGTGTGTAAAAGCGTCTGTGTGTAAAGGAGTCTGTGTGTAAAAGCGTCTGTGTGTAAAAGCGTCTGTGTGTAAAAGAGTCTGTGTGTAAAAGTGTCTGTGTGTAAAAGCGTCTGTGTGTAAAGGAGTCTGTGTGTAAACGCCTCTGTGTAAGAACTTTTGTGTTTAAAAGCTTCTGTGTGTAAAAGTGTCTGTGTGTAAAATGGTCTGTGTGTAAAAGTGTCTGTGTGTAAAAGTGTCTGTGTGTAAAGGAGTCTGTGTGTAAAAGCGTCTGTGTGTAAAGGAGTCTGTGTGTAAAAGCCTCTGTGTGTAAAAGCTTCTGTGTGTAAAAGCTTCTGTGTTTAAAAGCTTCTGTGTGTAAAAGTGTCTGTGTGTAAAATGGTCTGTGTGTAAAGGTGTCTGTGTGTAAAACCGTCTGTGTGTAAAGGATTCTGTGTGTAAAAAGTGTCTGTGTGTAAAAGCGTCTGTGTGTAAAAGCTGCTGTGTGTAAGAGAGTCTGTGTGTAAAAGCTTCTGTGTGTAAAAGCGTCTCTGTATAAGCGCCGCGTTTCTTCACATCCGAGGAATGATGGTACCGAGCTTTTTCGGCAATGTGTGTAGGAATTACCATAGTAAAATGAGATAACACATGTCATTCGCATCATCATGGTACCGAGCCTCCTGTGCACTTTTGTTGCTCACAAAGTTTTTCTCCATGTTTTCTTTCCATCTCCCTTTCCTTCTCTCTCTCTCTCTCTCTCCCTCCCTCCCCCTCTTTCTCTCTCTCTCTCACCCTCTCCCTCTTTCTCTCTCTTTCTCTCTCTTTCTCTCTCTTTCTCTTCTCTCTTCTCTCTTCTC